GGCGACATGACATTGCGAGAACCGCTAAGTACAAAAGGTCCTTTAATTGTGACCTTCGTGCTTTTGCCCTTTGTACAGCAAGTTGACAAAAAAACGACTTGACAATTGAGCGGTGTTCAAAAACAATAATTCCTTTCTCATCTTTCTTATGTTGTAGACGTTTCCCCAAGTCCTGCTCATAGCATCTCACAGCAACACATTAACATTGTGAAAAATCATGTAAAATCAGTACGCGCCGGTCTAGTTGCTGCCTAAACCATGTTCTGTACTGCGCGCAAAGAATACTCTGAACTACTCCCGGAGACACATCGTTCATTGTGTTCCGCTAAGCTTGCCACACGAGAAACCAGCGATCACGTGGGAAAGCAAGTTAGAGGCTAGCGCAAAGTCGAAACATGTTGAAACTAGCTGTGCAGTCAGCCTGCCTGTTCGGTTGCACGGATTCCGTGCGGGGCTAAAACACGGGTTTATATGTGTTTATGGCATTTTGGGATGAACGTTCGACGTGGATGCTCTAGGCCTACTAGAGTGCGGGGGGGCTGGCGTAATAACGTTCATGCTTGATGCCGGGGATGAACGTTACTGTCGGGTTGGGGGGTGGGGGCTGGGAGAATAACGTTCAATATAGATGCTACCGGGATGAACGGCACTCCTTTGTTTGCGTACCCAAAGCTGCTCAATTATGTGCGAAGCTAGCAATTTCATGCAATTTCGGTGTCGCAAAAGAGGACCCCTCAGATCTCTTGCGTGCCATCGCAAAGTTCAAAGGAGATGCGCAAACGCATGAAGTGAGGAGAAAAGCACTGCTGCCACTGCAATGTAAACCACCAACACCCAAAAAACTTTTCCGAAAAAACACAATTTCTTACGGAAACTATTTTTCAATTCATACACATCTACATCTAAAAATGTTCACCAAAAAACACACAAACTCAAGAACGGTAACCCTAGTGGGGTTTCCAAATTTGCGGGACGCCCTCGGAGGTGGCCGTATTTCAAGTCTACCACGGCTCACCATATATAACGTGAACCCAATCAATGGCAAAACCTCAATTAGTGGCTCAAAGTTGGGCTGCTTCACACGGCAGAACTGGCAGCATGAAATGGAGTCTGGGAACACTCAATTGGCCTGCGTTAAACCGTTAAACGAATGCATTAGCAACCACTGTTTCTAGACCAACAAGGCTCGCTTGCACTCCTTCCGCACCCAATGTACCAGTCCTGTTTGTTCCCACTTCTGCTTTGTTTTTGCCAGTAAAGGGAGGACCGCCACCATTGATAATATCTTCAATCGACTTCCGAAGTGTGGTCATTTCCTTGGCAAAGAATGGGCACATCATTGAGCCTGCATGTATCATAGACAACCACAGACTACCACCAGACTCAAGGCAAGTTGGGAAGGCAAAACACAGGTTGAAGTGGTGCTTTGGCGCCGGAGTGCCTTAAACTCTTCAATGGCGACCAACACCACAGCACTAAAACAGAAAAGAGAAGAAAAGAAGAATGTAAGGGTCGCCCCTTCAATAAGGGGCCCCTAGTAACGGAGCCCGCCTTACCTTCATTTGTTAATATCTTTTATATGTTCATCTCTTGACCTCTTTTGTCACTCATGTCTCCCGTCGACTCTCGACAATTGACGGCCAAGACTCGGCATTGCTTTTTTGGATTTCCTGACTTGGTCTCAGATTCAGGCAAGGTCCCTATCAGTCTCTTGATTCAAGCTGGATAAGAATACAAATGTCTAGCAGGGTTTACAGTTGTGCAGTTTCACAATGGAAATCATCGAGGTCTCCTTTGACAGCAATTCTAGCGCACCCGAGCTAGCACACCCTCAAGGCCACACTGAGAACACCTTTACTCCCAAAGCGGCCAAGAGAACTTCGGGTCTTTGCTTTCTTTGCTTTTGTGTTCTTTTTTGTTGTGCAAACATTATGCCCCAAAGCCTAATAAGCAAGATTAGATACTTCGAGAAACTCCCTGCTGAAAAGCCCCTTAGGCCATGCAAAAAGGATTTTGGACTAAACGAGAACCCGCGACAATTTGAGTACAGTAAGTAGATCTGCAAAGTGCGTGTATTTGTGATGACATGCTTATCTTCTCCAGGGCAACTTGTGTTTCAGGTGGTTGAATGCTTCTTGGCATCTTTCTCCATCATCTCGATCTTCCTGGGTGTTTTGCTGGGCGGTGTAAGCAATGTTGCTCTTTCAGTCATGCCCACTGGCTCTTGCCTCGATTTTTTTTCTTTTGTCCAAGGCGCCCAGCAGATTGTAGCTCCTTGATGTTTTTCAACTTCATGGAGCTGCGCAACTTCTGAGTGGCAAGCTTCACCTTGTGGCTGCAGATTCGATGAGCAACAAAAGCAAAATGCAATCCAATTGAAACCACACACCTGAATGAATCACTTGTGCATGCCACTAGTGCATGCTGTCAGGTCTGAGGTATGAGACATCTTCCAGGGTTTGAAAAGTGCATTCAAAACATGCACTGCCATTTGAAGGTGAGTCAAAGCTACTCAAACAGAATGCCACACCCCATATTCAACAAACATCAATGAGTGAATCCCGACCTCTTCCAAGGCTTTCGCCTTTGATAGAGTATCAGGCATGGAGAATGCCTTAGTACTTCCAGATGCCTAATACTTCTCAGCATAAGTTTACTCTTGTCAGCAACGCTCAATGACCATCAAGACGGCCGAAAGGGAGAGTCCAGCCAAAAGCTTGTGTACACATGTGTGCATTGCCGTCAAATCCATCAAGTAAATGCCCAAATGTCTTGCCTCACCAAGGCACTTCCCGGGCGATTTTGGCAACATCCATCTGGGAGCGGAACTTTTGTATAACAACGCTCTTGCAGGTTGTCACTTGGCCATCTTCTTACACCAACACAAATATCCAGCAATTTGTTTCGTCGATATGTTGGTCAAGTCGCTGCATTCAAAGTGCAGAAGTCCGTGTGGGTCTTCCGCACTGCCACATGGCTTTGCCCCACAGAGGATTGCAGCTCATGCCTGGATGATACGCCCATTGTTTTGACTTTGTTTGTTGCTTCTGTTTTGACTTTTGCCAGCCAAGATGCTGTCGCATAAGGCATTGGAACTGTTCCAATGACTCTTCGACTCCCCAAGAGCGCTCGTATTTTACACTGCCTCAAACATAGTCAAACTGCAGGCGACGCAATGAGCAAGTTCATTATTGTTGCGTGCAAGCCTTCCATTGGAGGTAGGCGGGAGAGAAGCGCTTGGCATCTCTGCATAGCCTTTTCCTGCAAACAAACCAAAAATTGGTAGAGGTTTTATGCTCGCATGCTTCGACGTGACATGCCCTGGCCCCAGCCCTGATTCTTCAACCTGCAATGCTTGTCCTGCTGAGCACCCAGGCATCTTGCCTGCAGGAAAGCTGGCGGCAGTGAATCGTGCACAACAGTCTTTCTATCCTGTGAATGCAACTAACGAGCCATCATGCAACAAAGTCCAGAAACATCTGATTTTATGGGAAAACAACACTTGTCTTTTTATGGTTTCCCTTCACATCTGAAAGGAAGGCTTAGAATCTGGAAGTACCCACCACAAGGGTCTCCCAAAAAAGTACGAGTTCACAGCATGAGACAAAGCACCTAGTAGCAACGGCCTCCTACCTAATAGCAATGGCCTCCAACCGCCTCCAACCTAATACCAATGCCCTCCAACCGCCTCCAACCTAAAATTGCAATGGCCTCCAACCTAATAGCGATGGCCTCCAACCTAATATTGCGATGGCCTCCAACCTACTAGCAATGCCCTCCAACCCAAAAGCAATAGCCTCCAAACTAATAGTGATGGCCTCCAACCTAGGCCTCCAAGCTAATAGCCATGACCTCCAACGTAATAGCATTGGCCTCCAACCAAATAGCAATGGCCTCCAACCTAATAGCGATGGCCTACAACCTGATAGCGGCGGCCTCCAACCTAATATATAGTGATGGCCTCCAACCTGATAGCAATGGCCTCCAACCTGATAACGATGGCCTCCAACCCAATAGTGATGGCCTCCAACCTAAAAGCGATGGCCTCCAACGTAATAGCATTGGCCTCCAACCAAATAGCATTGGCCTCCAACCAAATAGCGATGGCCTCCAACCTAATAGCAATCGCCTCCAACCTATTAGCCATGGCCTCCAACCTAATAGCAATGGCCTCCAACCTAATAGCGATGGCCTCCAACCTACTGTAATAGCAATGGCCTCGAACCTAGAAGCAATGGCCTCCAACCTAATAGCAATGGCCTCCAACCTAATAGCGATGGCCTCCAACCTAGAAGCAATGGCCTCCAACCTAATAGCTATGGCCTCCAAACCTAATTGTAATGGCCTCCAACCTAATAGCGATGGCCTCTAAACCTAATTGTAATGGCCTCCAACCTAATAGCGATGGCCTCCAATCTGATAGTTGAATTGCGCGGGTTTACACATTGGTGCAGCTGGTGCGAATTGGCGAGAAAATGCTGATCGCTGCACGATCAGTCTTTTTATGTCTTTTTACCATACAAACAAATTCTGCTGCATCATTTCCCTTTTGATGCCTTGTCACATCAGTCACGCTTGCATTCAGTGGCACCCTGCCTGCGGCTTTTCCGGATAGCCGCCACTCGGCTTGCCATCCATGGCTCCAAGCAAAGCCCAAAACAACCAGCCATAAGCTGAGTACACATAAAGTTCCTGTGTTATTCACATTTCTATTTTCGAGATGGCCTGATGGTTCAGTCCGACAAAGCAGTGGCGCACCAAAAAGCTCGATTCTGTCGATATTGGTGATACCTTACGGAACCTCTGCACAGTAGCCAAAAAGCCAAAAATACGATGTTCGTTTTGGTAAGTCGCTTTCGCGTTTGAACAACCTGTTCGATGCCCAGGACACCCGAAACCCACACTGCAAGGTATGCTCTGCAAAGATCTGCAAAGCATTGTCTGTGTGTGGCGGTGTTCTTTCGTTTTGTGACTTGTATCAACCTTGCGCTCTGGATAGCCCGAGTGCAACAAAGTTCTGCTGCGAGCATCTGTGAGCCATCAAAACAATACTTTGCAACCCCATTCACAATCAACAAGCTACCGAGAAAGTCAGCTGCACCAGTTGCCACGGACATTTTGCAACACAACATGTTGGCAACACTCTGAACAGGTTCGGTCTTCGAACCAGCGCAATGACAGACCGGTGACTGGATGATTTCTTTCTGCATCTTTATGTCTTTATGCATGCCATTTATGATCAATTAATGCATCAGAAAATCCTCGGCATCATTTAATTGCTTTACCTGAACATTCCTCGGCATCTGTGGCCTTTGGCGATGTCTCGCCATCTGCTGCACCTGGATGTTTGCACGTGTGGGGCCTAAATCAATTCCTACGTACATTGACTAAGACTAATTGGGGAAGGCTAGTATCAGGTTGAGGGCATGGACTGACAGTGTGGCTATTTGAACAAAGGTTGTTGGAGAAAAGCACCTGATCAACCTGCAAAGTGTGGACGAACCAAAGCGGCTCAAGGATGACACAACTTACTTTGGATCAACGCGTTTTGGATCTCAAACAGTGTTCATGGCACGGCAGGCTCGAAGTTACCCAAATTTCGGTTTAGCGTTTTGGTGTCCGTGTCTTCCAAGTGATTCCGTGCCTTTAGTGTGCTTCTTTCCTTTCGTGCGCCTCTTTCCGGCTTAAAATCTAGGAACCTAATTAAGCACGCGAAGAAACCTCAACGTTTCTGCGTTCTGGTGCCTAGACAATTTTGTAACCTTGCCAAACGCCTTACTGACCGTTTCTTCCTCATCATGTTTGAAACGTTCTGGATTTCCTGCCAAACATGTTTAAGGAAGTTTTTCAAATGAGTTTTGCTTGGCATCTGTGCAATTGGCACCATCAAAGGCCAGATGTCTGTTCCCGTCTGATGTGGAAGATGGAAACAATGCTGCCAACAGAGTAGCGAGAACATGGTTCAATAATGTTCAACCTTATTGTTTCAGTCCAATATGTTGAGATGGTGTTGCAATCAGGTTTCTGGCTCTGGTGTTTCTGGCAGTGCGAAGTATAATTCATCAGTGCCAAATTCCTTCTTACAGAAATGCAATTCTTCGCGGGGAAAGCATCTTTACTTTCGCACATATTTCGCGATCTCCAGACTCCATGTTTAACTTTCGCGGCGGGTGTATGTTGGAAGTCTTCTTGGTTTGGTTGTTGTACCTATCTTCCGCGAACTACACAAAAGACAACTATGCAACACAAGACGCTCTCAATGAACCTAGGCCTTATGTCAACCTTTTATGATCAACTACCATGTGCAATACTCATGCTATGGGTCGGCCATCACAGTTTATCTGTAGCGAGCCCAAACACTTGGTATGTGGCTCTTCAGTGTCAGCTGCCTTGACCAGTGGTGTTGGGTTGTTGCAGTTGACTTCAATTACCCCTTCCCCCCCTCGCCCTGCAGACATAAAGCTTAGAAAGCTTTGCGGTGATCTTGCTGCTTGGTGGTGGAGTTGCTGTTGTTGGCCTTTGGCTGCCATCAGCCGTCAGCGGCCGCAGCTGTCTGGAACCATTGCAGTCAAGTTGTGCCTTTGGTGGGGTTTGGAGTCTTTGGAAGAAGAGCTCACTTAGTTTTTTGGGCAAGACTAGTCGCGTGTTCTCTAAATAGCATGCCAAGAAGCCCAACCTGATGCAAATGCTTGGTATCTGGCTACTCAGAAACGAATGTGACAAAATCGGCGCGCGCGCGCACACACACAAACTGGATAAAACAGGTGCATGCACCGCCCATCGTAGCTTCTTGTTCCTAGTAGTAAGGCCAGGAGCCCCTAGTAGCGTCCTTGCTCCTAGTAGCGATGCCAGGAGCCCCTAGTAGCTTCTTGTTCCTAGTAGTAAGGCCAGGATGAATGAGTTTTGAACTTGCATAAATTTTGTGGCCTTTGCTATTTGCGAAGCTGGGCGCTTGCTTCATCATGTTATGGCACACACAATGCGACATCTGATGCGTATCGTAGGTCAAGACTCATCATCCAAATGTTCTTGCATAACTTGTGTAAGGGTCCGAATGACGGCACATGTTCAAAACCCAACTTTGCCATGGGGCTCTGGGCTGTGCGGACATAGAACCAAAGGCCGGCAGCAACTGCTCCTCGGATTTGAACGTGGAAAGGTCATTAAGTCTCAACCGAATAGTTTGACGTACACTGAAACAACCTAGTTGCTTTCTTGACACGAGGGGCAGCTACAAGTTAGCCTCTGTTCGGAGTTTCAGCTACTTGCCATCCAACACTTTACTTATACTCCAAGCAGGACAAGGCTCCCAACATTGCTACGGCTATCCAAGGTGCAGAATGGTGCACATCCTGACAACGGACGGCTAATGTCAACCTATGATTGATCAATTCCCCCTGAATAAAGCTAAGCAAATCCCAAAACAAAATTGTAAATACACCCTAAATAAAGCTAAATGTTTTTACCACTGAACCTACTGTAGATTTCCCAAATCTGGCCTTTAAAAGGTGTCTTGAGTCTTGAAAAAGACTCCTGCCTCCAAAGAAAGCAAGCACCAATACTAAAACAGTATGTAGTCTATTTGAGGTACTGTATTTCAAAGGGGAGGGGAGGGGACCCCCCTATTTATAAATCGGAGGTGGACATTATGAACAATAGTGTGTCTTTCCTGCTACCAAAGACCTTGGTCGCAAAAGTCCAATCTCGAGAAGTCAAATTTCGACCGTTCACGTGGGCCGCAAACATCTGTGCGGACGCAATCGACTTTAGGTTTCCAGTGAGTCATGTATGGTATTCCGCACGGAAGCCACCCAACTCTAGTCTCTTGTCGAAAAGGGAGAGAATGTGAGAGACCTAAGAAAGCGCATCGGACAACACCACATCGTTACCGTTACCCTTTCTTGAAAAAAGTGGCACAACCACAACCGCACAACCATGCCTGGGCATCATCACCATGACTTTCACATACTTTCACACTGTCACATTACAGGCATGGTAGCAAAATCAGAAGGATGACTTACCAGCGGCATGTCAACGTCAACCACGACATTGCATGGCATTGCATGGAACGTGTACAAATTTGCGTTGTTCACGAAAGCATCGCCGGGACACCCTCAAGAGCCTGTCAATGAAACCCTGCATAGCGGGCATCAGTACAAGCACCATCAGAACAACTACAGTACAATTGGGGCAGCATCACAGGCATACGTAACATGGAGACCTCATATCAGCGTACCCAAACTGGTATGTTGACCCGACAGGAATGTAGGACACTGAGGTGACACTGTTGGGGGGCAAAGACCCAAGCAGGAGTCTATTGGGAACTGGTAGAGGGTAGCGTCATAAACAAGCGTGGAAGTGTGTTCAGTGTTCTTATATATATATATAATACAATACAATGCGATACAATATATTGTTGTTTAATGTTGTTTGCTGGTTTATAATTGCCTGTGCTGTGTTGTGAAATTGCACACGACCATCGCCACCTCGTAGAGCGATGCAAAAAGGATCGGGCCAATGACTCGTGCCATGGCTTGAAAAGCAGCCATAGCGCCTTTGAGCACACAATACAACTGCCGAAGTTGGCTTCTTGAGTGACTAGTCTTCTCAAGCTCTGCCACACTTTCCCTGGCTACAATAAGTGAGCGTAACAAGAGTGAGTGCATATGGCCAGTAGCTGACAGGCTCAAGTCAGTCAGTCTAGCTGGCAATCCCGCCTAAGCATGTTCCGTAGGCAGCTTTACCAGAAACTTCCGTCAAAAGGGAGGTGACATTTGGAGCCCCAAGGTTGTCCTTGGCGCGTTTTCCCGAACGAAACGAAGCAAGTTCGCACTGAAGGCCTTTATTTTTAATCCCGGGGGGGGTAGGGCGCTAGGAGGGGTAGGTAGTAGCTAGAGGTAGCTTGTAGCTAGGGAGTCGCTAGTACCTGCAAGTAAGCTACTACCTATGGACGCAGGGTAGCTCGCGCTTCTTCAAGGAAAGGCGGCGGGGGAAGCTTCCTTGAAGAAGCGCTCGCACTAATGATTTGGTTCCTAGATTTTTAGGGAAACTTAACATTATCAAGCTTTACGCCAAGCATCTCCAACATTGGTCATGCCTGGCCAAATCACAATAAAAATTCAGTCTCGATTGAGTGGTCTGTCCGACTCTAAGTCTTACCGCTCTGCGCCTTGTCCAACAAGAAATAGCCATTTGGTGGGCGCAAGCCCTATGCCAATGAATCCCAAAAGGCGAAGACAAACGCCTTTCATTCCACAGCGTTGAGAATAGATGTGTCTGGAAATTGCAAACTTGCAAACGAGCCCTTTTTCAGCAAAGGAGCTAATGACCACTGTGCGCCTGAGGTTTATAAGCCGATATCTGCCGTCAATTTCTGCACACAAACAGTCGCCGCAGCGAATTGCAAGGGTGCTTATCAACGACGGAAAAAGAAAAAAGAAAAAGAAAGGTCTAAAGAAGAACAATAAGTCCATGGAACCTGCTGCTTAGCACTTTTATTTTGCCCAGGAGCCACTGTTTCAACAACTCCATACAAGTTGGAAATACCACAACTGTAACGAAGACCACAATGATACCAGACATTGCCATACCTTGCAGACTCATTCATGGTAGACTTCCCGTCAACAATTTGAGAAGTGAGAAGACACAATCTTCACTTTCAAAGCAAAGTCAAGACATTTAACAAAGAGTGTTCCAAAACTGATATTGTGGCTCTGCAATCTGCGCTCTTATTTGAAGAAACACATACAGGTCAAGAAGGACTAGTAAATACAAGCCAGCGACAATTATATATATAGGTCTATAGTGTGCGATAAAACTAACATGTCTGCTCCTAGTCAACCACCTAATTCGATCACCTAGCAGTGGAATAGCCAGCAGCCAGTAAATTGGCATCATTATATAAATACAGTTGCCGCCAGCAAAGAATTGAGAACTTGCTGTTGCAGGTGAAGGATAGAACCAAAAATAACCTTGGAGCAACTTGGAATCAAAACGAGCAACTGTGAGCCTCGCCAATTCAATATACTAATTGCAATTATCGTTTTCAGCAACAATGGGTTCGCTCTTTTGATAAGAGTACGTAGATTGATTTCTTGCACCATGCTCTGAATGTCTATGTGGTTCCGTTGTTTCCTCACAAACCCGACCAGTTTTGCCTTCCTGCAATTTTCCGATGTCACGAGGTTTGAAAGCTGGAACATGTTGTTTGCAGTCCAACCCATGCTGTCTCTACAAGATTTGGTTGCTCAGGGATTCAGTGCTACATATCAATATGACAATTCCGTAGCTTGTACCAAGAAACTGTCCATGATGTAGAGTGCAGCACAGCTCTCCCATGCCTTGAATGGGGGAGATAATTCAAAAATACGTGGAAGACCGTCTGAGGCCAGTACGTCGACACCCGGTGGTGGCTTCAACACACAGTTGGTACCACGCGCATCAATAATCATACAAATACGCTTGCCGTCCGACTTTTGCAGAAAGAAAAGGCCACTGGGAAGGGTCGCTTTAAACTTTAAACATGTCAGCTGAAGGCTTGGCCACAGCTTTGGGATGTGAGTTTCGGGGCGAGCTTTGAGCCGGGCATGTGCTACTCCGCCAACGTATCGACAGTTGTAACACCTTTGTCGCAACACCTTTGCTGCCAGGATACAGCCATCCCAGCCTGCAACCACGGACAAGAGGAATTAATCAAGCGTTGTTGCTACTTATATCTACTTGTATTGTTACAGTACTTGAGGCAAGCAGTAAGCAAGCAAGCAAGTGAAGTGAGCGGTGACATTGGCTGGCAACGGTCGAAACTCGTTGAGTTCCGAGTCCCGAGGTGACGGTGCCCAAACCTGGTGTTGCCTTGTAGTCCCCTTTGTGGCACCAAACTTGAGGCCAGGGGAGGAGGTCGAAAGCCAGCGTTTCTTTATCCACCCTGCGGTCGTTGAGGTCAAATCTCAATCCTTGCGTCAACTTACCATCGAGATTTCAGTGAAGTGGGACCAAGTGGGTTAGTATAGACACATATTATCAAAGTATATGAATGTAAAGTCCACTATACTTGAGGCGATGGAGGAGGAAAAAGGTAGAGCCGAGCAGCAGCAGCAGCAGCAAAGCAGGAAATGCATGGAGGAATGAGGTAGAATGACCCTAAAAAATCACCCACATTTGCCTTGCGCAGCCCTTGGTTTTCGTATAGTATAATTTTGGGAGGGTCGTGCAGCACACGAGACCAGTTAAAGTTAAAGCTATCACTCTCCACCCTTGGAACGCAGACACCACGAAGGCTGTGACGAATACTGCCTTTAGTAAGATCGAGTGTATTGCGTCCGAGATGTGGAACACTTGCATGGAACACTCGCAATCGCTCCTATACCCGCGCATTTCCAGGTGGGAGCTTGAGCTGTCGATCCAAACACAGGTCGTGACCTTGACCCCGCCAGGAAGAGGTTGCAGTGATAACCTCCTGACAGCGCTCGAACGAGCTGGCGATCCACCTTCACGTCGGCGCACGTCAAGGCATTAGTGAGAATCTCAACGACCAGCCATCGTGCGGAGATCACGCCCATCCACGATCATAATCATGTCAAGAGATGTTGGATGCTGATCTGAGGCCAACGCAAACAGTAC